GGGCGGGGCCGGGCGGCGGCGGCGGCGCTGACCGCGCTGTCCCCGGGCAGGGGGCCATGGCCCCGCTGGCCGCCCTGCTGCTGGCCGCCCTGCTAGCCCCGGGCCGGGCGTGCCCGGAGCCCTGCGCTTGCGTGGACAAGTACGCGCACCAGTTCGCCGACTGCGCCTACAAGGAGCTGCGGGCCGTGCCCGCGGGGCTGCCCGCCAACGTGACCACGCTGAGCCTGTCGGCCAACAAGATCGGCTCGCTGCCGCGCGGCGCSTTCGCCGAGGTGGGCCAGGTGAGCTCGCTGTGGCTGGCGCAYAACGAGATCGCCACCATCGAGCCGGGCGCGCTGGCCGTGCTGGCGCAGCTCAAGAACCTGGACGTGAGCCACAACCGGATCGCCGAGTTCCCCTGGCAGGACCTGCGCAACCTGAGCGCGCTGCAGCTGCTCAAGATGAACCACAACCGCATGGCYTCGGTGCCCCGCGACGCCTTCCGCGCCCTGCGCGACCTGCGCTCGCTGCGCATCAATGACAACCGCTTCGCCACGCTGGCCGAGGGCATCTTCGACTCGCTGGGCTCGCTGTCGCACCTGCAGATCTACAACAACCCGTTCGAGTGCTCCTGCGCGCTGCGCTGGCTCAAGGGCTGGATGGAGAGCACGCTCATCTCCATCCCCGAGAAGGACTCCATCGCCTGCGCGCTGCCCGAGCGCCTGCGGGGGGTGCCGGTGGCCAAGATCCCGGAGCTGGCGTGCGCCGCGCCCACCGTCAGCCTCAGCTACACGCCCAACGCGGACGCGGCCGAGCTGCCGGACGGGCTGGTGCTCAGCCTGCACTGCGCCGTGACCGGCTCGCCGCCGCCCGAGGTCACCTGGAAGATCCGCACGGGCTCCGGCCAGAGCCTGGAGCTGGGCGTGGACGGCGCGGGCAAGGAGGAGGCGGCGGCGCCGCGGGAGCCCGAGCGCTTCCTGGTGTTCAAGAACGGCACCCTGGTGATCCCGCGCCTGAGCAAGCGCGAGGARGGCACCTACACCTGCGTGGCCACCAACGAGCTGGGCACCAACAGCACCTCGGTCAACGTGGCGGTGGCGGGCGCGCAGAAATACCCGGCGCAGCCGCCCGGCGCCAAGGGACGCGCGACAGGTGACAAAGGGGCCGAGGGCGCCAAGAACAGCGTGCTGACGCCGGAGGAGCGCGGCAAAGCGCTGGGCCCCACCCGGCAGAGCCAGCCCTCCTCTTCCTCGGCCGGGGCGGCGGCGGGCGGCGCGGAGCCCGAAGGACCGGAGCGGGCCGCGCCTTTCGAGCCGCCGGGCCCGGAGACCAAGTGCGGCTCCGCGGRCGGCGGCGGCGGCCGCTACGTGTCCAACCACGCGTTCAACCAGAGCGGCGAGCTGAAGCAGCACCGCTTCGAGCTGGGCGTGATCGCGCTGGACGTGGCCGAGCGAGAGGCCCGAGTGCAGCTGACCCCGAGCCGCCCTCCGGCCGGGCGCGGCCAGCCCGGGGTGCTGTACCTGTGCCAGCAGAGCCCCCGCGGGCTCGCCCTGCTGCARTGGTCGCGCATCGAGGACGGCGTGAACTCGTACCGCTTCCGCGGCCTCAGGCCCGGCACCAACTACTCGGTGTGCCTGGGAGCGCCGGGCGGCGACGAGTGCCAGGTGCAGGTGGTGTTCAGCACCAAGAAGGAGGTGCCCTCGCTGCTAGTCATCGTGGCGGTCAGCGTGTTCCTGCTGCTGCTGGCCACGCTGCCGCTGCTGGGCGCCGCCTGGTGCCACCTGCTCGCCAAATATCGCGGCAAGCCCTACAAGCTCATCGTCAAGGCGCGCAACGCCGACCCCATGGAGAAGAGCATGGCCGCCGACTTCGACCCCCGCGCGTCCTACCTGGAGTCCGAGAAGAATTTCGACCCCTCCGGCCGGGCGGTGGAGGCCGCGGAGGAGGAGGAGGACGACGACGAGGAGGAGGAGGATGAGGAAGGAGGGCGGTGGAGGCGGAGGAGGGAAGGGGAAGGAGAAGGCGCGGCCGAGCCGGAGCGCGAGGGCAGCGTGGCCGCCGGCTCCATGGCCGAATCGCAGTCCAAGGGGGGCGCCGAGGAGTTCGAGGTGCGCTCCGAGTACAGCGACAAGCTGCCGCTGGGCGCCGAGGCCGGCACCATGGCGCACGAGATCAATGGCAACTACCGGCAGCGGCCCCGCTGAGCC